AGCTGGGTGTGGTGGTGCATGCCTGTAATTCCAGCTACTCAGGAGACTGAGGCATGAGAATTGCTTGAACCAGGGAGGTGGAGGTTGCAGCGAGCCAAGATCACACCACTACACTCCAGCCCAGATGACAGAGACTCTGTCTCAAAATAAAAAATAAAAAAATATATATATGCTAAATTAAAGAAGCCAAAAAATGACATATTATACAATTCCATGTGTGAAACATCTAGAAAAGGCGGAAAATCCATAGAGGCAGAAAGCAGATTTGTGGTTGCCTGGAGCTGGAGGAAGGAGCAGGAGTGACTGAAAATGGGCATGAGGAAATTTGGGGGGTTGATAGAAATGTTCTAAAACTGGATTGTAATGATGGTCACACAATTCTATAAGTTTATTACAAGTCATTGAATTGCACACTTAACAATGGTTGCATTTCATGATATGCAAAGTATACCTCAATAAATCTGTTTTCAAAAAGTTAATTTAAAAATTGGAAAGCCACTGTATTAGAAGTACTCTGTTAATGAGGCCAACGCCACAGGCTCAAACCCTTGGAAGCCAATGAGATTGCTTGGACTCTATTTTCATTTCTTTCGTTCAATACATAGGTATGTATGAATTTATAATCTAGGCCCCATAAAAGCGGACATGGCCCTGCCCTCCAGGAGTTTATAATCTAATTAGAAGTTAAAATGCACAGAAATAATTACAGACAGAATACAGAATACCACATTAAGGACATGCTAGCAAAGTCTGTGGTACTGGTGCAAAGACAACTTTGCAGGGAAAAAACAGGAAGGAGAGCAGGATTTAAACAGAATCTTAAAGAATGAGTAGGAGGAGAATAAGCAGGGTTGGATGCTAAGGACTGCCCACAGGCTACCCTCTTTATCCACCTTTCCCTCACATGTCATTGTCATAAGGGATGCTGGAAAGTATAGGAAATATAGAAGCATCAGCAACACAGGGACGTGTCCTACCAGCAGAATACCTGGTACAACATAGGTGCTTAGCCTGTGTCTATTGAGTGAATTAATGGATGAAGAATGAATGAATGAAAATGTAGGATAAGACTAGCAGCATTTCAGGTAGATTGTGGATTAGCAAGAAGAGATCACACATACACACACACACACACACACACACACACACACAGAGTCAGCATCTACAAGGTCACATCTTCCTTCAGGAGAGGGAGACAGAGTCAGTGCCCAGATGTACCTGAACAATATCTCTGGCTCTCATTTTTCAGCATTTCAAAATCCCCAAGAACTCACCATTGACTCATTGCAATGCTCCTTTACCCAGGTGTTTTTAATACCAAGTTTAGTCCAAGAACCATGGCCAGAAATCCATTTCCTTCCAAGTCACTAGTGTTATCTTTATATGGGAAGGCAACACCTGAGCATATTATTACACATATCTCTCTAGGTCCTTTATGTGTATATTTTTTTCTTCTGACCTAAATAATAAGATTTTAGTGGATAAGAACCATTTTTTTTTCTTCTATTGAATTCATCTTACTGAGTGGGAATACTAAGTGATACATTTCCTTGTGAATAGAGTGAAATGTTTAATAAGTTCTCTGTAGATGAAGAGATAAAAAGATGGGTAGATGGATGTGAATGACTGAACAAATGAAAACAATCCTGGAATGAATATACATCCTGAGTGATGACCTAAAGCCTTTTCTGTATATCCTGTCTCTATTGTAGAACAAGAAGCAAGCACAGGCATTAGCATTCGAGGAGTCAGAGATGGAATTCGGGTCCAGTAAACAGTGTCATCTGAGGCAACTCCAGCAACTGAAGAAAAAATTGCTGGCCCTTCAACAAGAACTGGAGTTTCGCACAGAGGAGTTGCAGACTTCTTACTGTTCTCTCCGCCAGTATCAGTCCATCCTAGAAAAGCAGACTTCTGACCTGGTTCTTCTGCACCATCACTGCAAACTGAAAGAAGATGAGGTATAGAAAGATTAACCATGGAAATACCCCACATTCTTAGCTACCTGCAGAAATCAGACCAAGCCCACTAGAAAGCAGATGTTGGACTTAGGAGAGCTTTGCAACATCTCAAGCAGGTTTTATAAACTTTCCCCTTTAATTCTTGATCTTTTTGAAGCTGAGCAGAAGGAAACTAAACTGAATGGTGTAACTGGGTGAGATCTCCAGTATTCATGCATGTGGAATATGTGGAATGTGTGTGCAGGCATGTGTGTGTGTGTGTGTGTGTGTGTGTGTGTGTGTATAAGCCCATCTTCTCCATTCTATTACCATTGCAATTTAAATGCAAAAGACTGTGGGTCTCTGAGGGTTATAAAAGAGGTATAAGGTCCATTAAATCCACCATTTTTAGAAAAATAAGGTCTTGATAATATATAAATTCCTGGCACCTGCACACTAGATAAGATAACCAGACGTTGACGTTGACTGGGAGTCAATCATTGAGAGTACCAGATAATTTTTTCAGACTGGAGTTTTAGATCATATAGACTTCACTTAAGTATATTCAGGGCATTAATTCCCATTCATGTTCCAGGGTAGTATTTTCTAAGCCAAAGAGTAGCATCCCTGCAGAATCCCAGGTAAATTCCAAGGACCCAAAGCTGCAGCACTAAAACCACTTGAGCAGTGATAGCACTAGCTGCAGTAAACCATGGGTTCTAAGTGATGGGACAGACATACTCTTCCATCCTGGGGTTTCCCCTGGCATTTTCTTTCTTTAGATTTAAAGATAAAATTTCAAGGAGTTAGGTTCTATTTGAAGGACAGAGAAGAAAAAAAATTTCAAAGAGTGTTTTGGATGGTGCTCTTGCTTAAGGACTAACTTTAAAGACTTTAGGAGCAACTTTAAAGACCATAAACTTTTTTAAAAGGGAATATTGTCACCTAGTGAAAATTTGCTGAAAAGAATTGAGAGTGGGAGGAACAGAGAAAGGTTATTCTAACCCTACAAATATAATCTGTGACTAAGCCTGTGCACACACACATAGTTTTAAAAAGACAGTGCAAGGCTGTGTTAAAACTTACTGGTTCAGTACAACTTAAACAAAAGGGTCCAGCCTGGATCAAGCGACCCTGAATGAGTTAGGATTCTATTTAGCAGCATATAACAGGAAATGAATAAGCTAGTTTACTTCTGTGTCATATTTAAAAAGGTCAGAGACAGGTGGTCTGTTGCTGTTATGGCAACTGCATGTGTCATTAGGTCTAAGGGTCTATCCTTGGGTTCCACCATCATCAGCTCAGGGCTTCCATTCTCTAAGTCACCTGAGGTGCCTCCTGGAGCTCCAACCGTCACATCCTTTTTTTTTTTTTTTGAGACGAAGTCTCACTCTGTCACCCAGGCTGAGGTGCATTGGCCCAATCTTGGCTCACTGCAACCTCTGCCTCCCGACTTCAAGTGACTCTCCTGCCTCAGCCTCCTGAGTAGCTGGGATTACAGGCACGTGCCACACGCTGGGCTAATTTTTGTATTTTTAGTAAAGATGGGGTTTCACCATGTTGGCCAGGCTGGTCTTGAACTCTTGACCTCGGGTGATCCACCCATCTTGGCCTCCCAAAGTGCTGGGATTACAGGTGTGAGCCACCATACTCGGCCACATCCTTGTTCCAAATAATCCAGATAAATGGGCAGGGGACCAGGTGACAAGGGTGGAAAGGAAAGGCACACTCCCCTCCTTTTAAGGACACTTTCCGGAAGCCACAACACCTTCACTTGAATATCACTGGCCAGAATTAGTCACGCGGCAACAGCTACTTTCTAGGAAGCCTAGGAAATGTGGTGTTTTAGGAGGTGCGTTGCTGCCCCCAGTAGAGTCAAGGCTCAATTACTAAGGAAGAGCAGGAGAATAGATATGGGACTCAGCAAACAACAGTCACTGTCTAAGATCCCAAACCGAGAAAGCACTGAGAAAATGATTTTAGACATTCTGCCAAGTTCCCCCAATGTCTTGTTGCACAGCCTCATCAAACTTCTGTCTAAGGTTGGATTCACTCAACAGCAGACCCTAAAACAAGGATATAAATACAAGTAACTAATTCCGGAGGTGATTCCTGCAAGCACACGAGCAAGTGAGTCACAGAAGGACCGGAAGCCCATAAAGAACATTGGTATTGAACAGACTGCTTGCTTGGTCCCTCTGGGGAACTCTGGCAGATAGTGTAGGACATGCCTCAGAGTGAACCCAACACACCCCAGTCACTGGTTGAGGGCTGCTCCTGAGGGTGTTAACTCCCCAGCGCTTCTAACCTACCGCGTCTTCCCTCTCTGGTTAAATGGGCTCCTGGTATCAGAGAAGCCCTCAGGCAGAGTTGAATTTCCTTGCAGTGGGAATGGGGTTAGCTTGCAAAGAAATAGCAAGTGCCCAGGGGATATGGGCTGGCCACTGATAGCTTTGGTTATAAATATTTGGATATAAAATATTCCTCTCCTCTTCTCCTTACATAGTAGATACCTTACACAAAGTTATCCTTTCCTGAGAAGAATCTCAAATGACAGGCAGCAAGTATAATGAGCTTCAACTAATGGAACATGTTCTATCAGCATTCTGCATTGGATTATTTAAACTAATATAAAGTCATCCTTGATGACTCTTCTGCTGTTAACTCCTTCAACACATCAGATTCAAGTCATATGATTTAGCACACTCAACTACCTATAGCTGTTTATTCATTTTAACTCTTATCTCCCCAAGATTGTGAAAGTTTTAAACTCTTTGAGGAGTGAGCATATGTCTAATATGTATATATCCCCTCTGCCCTTAACACAATGCTCATGAGCTTTCAATAAATATCTGTCCGTTGGTTGACTAATTACTTGATGAGGAAGAAAATAAATCTAAATAAGGATTGTGCAAATCCCAGAGGAACTTTGGGTCATGTTCCCCACCTATCTCTTGGGAACTTTGTTGACATCATCCTGTGTGCAGGAGGAAGTCTACATTTTCTAAGTTCAACTTCTAGAGAATGCCTGGAAAGGAAAAACTACCAGCATTTCAAGCCCTTAAAAAAACAGAGCTATAAAAATCCATTCCTCTTAGTCAACTAGCAAGTATTTACTGAGTTCCTACCACATGCTGGGCAGAATAGGAAATGGATATGGTCCCTGCCTTGAAGGAGCTTACCTCTAACTAGGCCATCTTTTTTTATTTCCAATCATTAACATCTTGACATTACATACTGTAGCTTTTAGATCTGTTCAGCCTCTTCTGTTCATCTGGTCTTCTGGTTTAGATACAAGACTTCTCTGCAGGGAGTCTTACAACTGCATCCCTTCCTCATTACATGCTTCCATGGGCTCAATGTGGATTTATTCCTATATCTACAGGTGATTCTCTATGAGGAGGAAATGGGAAATCACAACGAGAACACAGGGGAGAAGCTCCATTTGGCACAGGAGCAACTCGCCTTGGCCGGGGACAAGATCGCCTCCCTAGAGAGGAGCTTAAGCCTCTACAGGGATAAATACCAGTCTTCCCTGAGCAACATCGAGTTACTAGAATACCAAGTGAAGATGTTGCAGGGGGAGCTCGGCGGGATCATGGGTCAGGTAGGACTTAAGCCAGGCCATTCAATCCAGGCAAGTGGATGTGCTCCCAGGTGGTCCCCTCAGACAGTCCCAGCCTCCTCCACTGGAAACCCAAACCTTAACCCAAATGTCATTTCCTGCCCTTGATTTTGTAGCCCTCAGGTTTTGAACCTCCAGCTTTCACATATGCTGTAAGATCACTTCTTCACAATTTTGAGGCTCTTTAATTAATATAAAGAGCCACCACTTCAAATAACGCCAAAAGAGAATTACCAAATAAGCTCCAGCCCCGCTGTTCCCTGTGGGGTTGGCTGAGCCTTTGTTGAGATTGCATCACAGCTCATCACCCTCTGCCCAACCCTGCTTCCTTCCTCTTCCTTTCACAGGTGTTAATACCAACAGCTCTCCCTAACAATGTCCAATCTTTTGTTAGTTCTCATGGGGGTCCGGCAGGGGGCTCTGCTAGGCCACAGGACTCATGCAAACCACAACTTCAGGATCAAATAGGAGGAAAAAGCTATGAAACATGGGAAAGAAGAGTCAAAACACCTGGTTTGTTTCTTTTTTCTTTTAACTGCTGTTTTTAATTACACAAGTAATACAATTATTATAGGCTTTCTAGACAGAAGTACAGAGATTAAATATGAAAGTCTGCCTTCAACCTCTTCCCCATCATTCTCCTCTTCTTAGGTAATTACTTGAATCATGTGTTGAGAATCCTCTTGGGGCTTGTGTTATATACAGTTACATATATAAATGGGCGGGAGGTTATTTTTACCTAAGTGGTTATCAAAGTGGTTTTAAAACTTACT